GCCTGTAGGAGGTCATGCCCGACCCACTTTTAGGGCCGTCTTGGGGGTCTGTGGGGCCCTCCTGGAAACTTCTGGAGCCGTTTGGGGTGGTTGTTTCGACATGGCTCGAAAATGCGTAGGCGAAGTTCATGATTGTGGCTTCTTGGAGGTCCTCTTCTTGGAGCCCTCGTCGGGGCGTTGTGGGGGGCCTCTTGAGCCGCCTGGAGGCCATCCTGTGGTTGGGAGCATCTGGTGCCGTCTTGGAGGCATCTTGGGCTGTCGTGGAGGCGTTAGGAGGCCATCTCTTGGAGCATACGCATTGGAGGCCAGAGTTCTTGACTTTGGGGTGTGGCTTGCACGGCGGGGTCCTGGGTGGCCGACGGCATCGGCCGAGACCCATCGGGCACCTGCTTGGGGGGGCGAGAAGTATTCACAAATCCAGCACGTCAAGCACCCCTCCAGCAGGCTACGGGAGCAGCGGACCTAGTGGCGTTGGGCCCGTCCCGCTCCCGCTGCCTGGGTCGTGGACCCGGTTCATGTTGGATGTCTTTTTCGGGGTCGCGCAAACATGGATTAGTGATCCATGGACTTGGTGCGCGGTCGCCTAACCCATGGATCGGGGGAGGTATCCTCAAAATGCGGCCAGTGCCGCCTCGTTCGGCGGCGGAAATCCGCGATCTCCCACGGAAACGGGGCCCGTCGCTAACCCACGTCCCCTTAATCCATCTTTGCGATCACCTGATTTGTTGGGGTCTCTGGAGCGCCTCTTGAGGACCTGCTGGCGATCTCGAGGGGGCCCTCCTGGGGCGGAATGCCACAAATGCCCTGTTGGAGAGCCCCCTCGTGGGAGCCTGCCCGCCGAGCCCCTCGGGGGGAGGGGCGGCAGTCTGGCCCGGGATCCCCCCCCCGTCGCAGCCCTTCCCCCGCCCGTCCCCCCGCCCCCCCCCCCCCCCGCCCCCCGCATCCCTCCTCCCCAGGGAATGGAGATCATCCTGGCGAAGGACCCAACCATACGGTAGGTTTGCGTCGTGTCGACCGGCGGCGACCCCGCCGCCGACGTTCAACGTTGAACGCCGCCGGCGGCCCAGAATCGGTCGATGTTGAACGATCGGACGTTGCGGAGACGGCCGATCGTTCAAGGTTGAACGATCCAGCGCGGTGTCAGGAACCAACGCCAGGGTCGACACGGCACGGACCTGCAGTACGCAGTTGTGGGTACCGCAATTGTGAGTATCTTCTTCGGCGGAGCTCCCCATGGGGCCACGAAGCGCTGCACTGGGTGGGGCGGAACGCATGCGGGCGGTAGCAGGTGAAAATGCCTCATTGGGTGTGTGGGACGCATGCGGACGGTCCCACTGGGGGTTTCGGTGGAGCTCCCTCTGGGGCCTCGAAACGCTGCACTGGGTGGGTGAAAATGCCAAATCGGGCTTCCGGGACGCATGCGGGCGGTCCTACTGGAACTTCCGTGGAGCTCAGAATGGGACCACGAAACGCTGCACTGGGTGGACAATGCCAAATTTGGTTTCCGGGACGCATGCGGACGGTTCCATTGGGGGCTTCGGTAGAGCTTCCTATGGGGCCACGAAACGCTGCATTGAGTGAGCGAAACTGTCAAATTGGGTGTGTGGAACGCATGTGGGCGGTCCCACTGGGGGCTTCGGTGGAGGTCCCCGTTGGGGCCACGAAACGCCGTACTGGGTGGGTGAAAATGTAAAATTGTGGCGGACGCATGTGGCCACCCCCCATTGGGGCATGTGGGGCCACGATACGCCGTACTCGGTGTGGCAGACGCATGTGGTACCCTCCACTGGGGCCTTTGCTGGAGCTCCCTATGGGGCCACGAAGCGCCGTACTGGGTGGGTGAAACGCATGGAGGAGGGGGAGGAGGAGGAGGAGGAGGAGGAGGAGGAGGAGGAGGAGGAGGAGGAGGAGGAGGAGGATGAGACCGGAACGCCGGGTGTACTCCGATTCGTCTCTTCAAAACGGGAACCCAACTGGATGATTGGCGCCAGGGAAAGGGGAACCGATCGGACGGGTGTCTTTTTCGTGTACTCCATTTTTTCCTGGTTCGGTTTCCTCAGTCTCCCTCATGACTTGGCGACGACACGATACGACCCGACGACGACGACAGCGTCTCACAGTAACAAAGAAAGACACGCCAAAGGGCCGGCCGATCGGATTTGTGCTAACCAGCATGTGTTTGACATAAACGATGTTGGTCTCATGGGCCGCCGCTTCCAATGGCCTCCAAGACGATGCCAAGAGGGACTCGGGACTTGCCCATGGGGCCATCCTCGGGTACACGCTGGCCGGCCGGATTCCGAGCCAAGCTCCCGAGGCCCGTGGAAAAGTACAGTAGAGGCCTCCTCCTCCTCGTCCTTCACCTCCTCCTCCTCCTCCTCCTCCTCCTCCTCCTCCTCCTCCTCGAGCCACACGTGAACGTTTGCAGGTCAGATTTCTAAAACGCGAGCTGGGTCTCAGAATTCGAGTACAGTTGGGGCCCGACCACAAGAAACCTTCCACAGGAAGCCCAGCCCTGAGACCCCAGGACGTCCATTGATTTTTGGCGTGGGAGCGTCACGTGTTCCATCGCAAAACCATCGAGGCCCAAGAATCCCAGGGCACCCTGGAGGCAAGCAGGGTGTTTCTTGGCACGGGTCTCCCCTGCAGTTACTATGACCTGACCTCAGGCAGCGCCCAGGCGTGCCCAAGAATTCTGGGACCCCGAGGCCCGGGGCCCTCAAAGAGTGTGGAACATACATTGTTTTTGCGCAGAGGCCTCAAGGGTCCTGAGAGCACTCCTCTTCCTCCTCCTCCTTCTCCTCCTTCCCCTCCTCCTCCTCCTTCTCCTCCTCCTCCTCGTCCCCTGCTCTCTCCTCGCCTCTGCTTGTCCGCTTGTCTGGTCGGCGAAACGTTATGCACCAGCCATATGATAACTACTAGAGTGCGGAGCGTTCCAATGACTGTGTCCGAGCGCGCGAACTGTGTCCGAGCCAGTTCTCTTGTTCACGCGCTCGGACACAGTCATTGGAACGCTCCGCACCCTAGTAGTTATCGCATGGCTGGTGCATAACGCTTCGCCGACCAGACAAGCGGACAAGCAGAGGCGAGGAGACAGCAGGGGAGGAGGAGGAATAGGAGGAGGAAGAGGAGGAGGAGGAGGAGGAGGAGGAGGAAGAGGAGGCAGACGCGTTCAGCAGAGCGGGTTCGGCGAGCAGCTGATGCGGACTTGAGCAGCAGCCCCGTGCGAACGCTGCGAGGTCATGACCTACTCGATCGAGCTGTTCTCCGCGACCATCCGGGGACGCCTCGCGGCAAGAGCCGCCTCCAGCCCTCGCTCTCCGTGGCTCCGCTCGGGGTGCCCGGGGCCTCCGGCAGCTCCGCGCGGCCCCCGTTCTCCCGGGTGTTGGGTCTCCGTTTGGAGTGCACGGCGCCGCGCCCCACCTCCTCCTCCTCCTCCTCCTCCTCCTCCTCCTCCTCCTCATCCTCTCCTCCTCCCCTCCTCCTCCTCCTCCTCCTCCTCCTCCTCCTCCTCCTCCTCCTCCTCCTCCTCCTCTTCCTCACCATCCTTGTCGTCAGCAGCATCCTTGTCGTTGCCATCATCGTCCTCGTCGGCATCATCGCCGCCACACTTCACTTTTGTCGCCGCCGTCATCATGTACATCACAGACTCGCCACACCCCTCACACGCCTCGCTGCCCCAGCAGGGAGCTCCACCGAAGGCCACACTGGCAGGGTCCGCATGGTGCCTCGGGCCCACCTGCGGCAGACGCATCGCACGCTCCGCGGCCCCGCAGGGGAGCTCCGCCGTCCCCCTGTGGCAGGGTCCGCATGCAGACTCGGGTCCATCTTGCCACAAATCTCTCACGTTTCGTTGCCTCCTCCTCCTCCTCCTCCTCCTCCTCCTCCTCCTCCTCCTCTTCCTCTTCCTCAGGCGGGCAGGTCGGTGCGGGCGCGCAGCATGCGCCGCGGACGCCGGCGCGCGGCGGTGCCACCGTGCACGCCATGGGCCGGGAGCTATCCCGAGGGGGAAGAGATGGAGGAGGAGGAGGAGGAGGAGGAGGAGGAGGAGGACGAGGACGAGGACGAGGACGGTGACGAGGACGAGGACGAGGACGAGGACGAGGACGAGGACGAGGAGGAGGACGAGGAGGAGGAGGAGGAGGAGGAATAGGAGGAGGAATGCGGAAGAGCCGGAGGAGTGAGGAGGAGTGAGGAGGAGGAGGAGGAGGAGGAGGAGGAGGAGGAGGAGGAGGAGGAGGAGGAGAAGGAGTGAGGAGGCGAAGAAGCCAGAGACATGTGGGGACGGATTCTGCTGGATTCTGCAGCCTTGCAACTCACGTGGCACTCCTTTTTTCTGCAGCCCCGAGGGTCGCAGGAAGAACGCGAGCTTCCGCAACCACAGGGCGCCTGCCGCAGGAGCAACACGAGCCCCCGCGACAGCATCGCAGCGCAGGAGGAACACGAGCCTCCGCGCGAGAAGGCCCTGAAGGCCCTGGCGGCGGAGGAACACGAGCCTCCGCCCGCCGAGCAGGGCGCAGGAGGAGCACGAGCCCTTGCACCGAACCAGGAGTGTCGCAGGAGGGTACGAGCCTCCGCGGCACTCACGACATGACCGCCTTCTAGGGCGGGAGGCCGAGCTTCACCATGAACGCAGTGCGCTCGTCATCCTCCATGCCCGAAACATCGTCGACCACTTCATCAGCGGCCGCGTCGAACCAGGCCTTCGCCTGCGCCAAGGCGGTCTCAGTCTGCTGGACTCCGAAGGCCGCCTGGTGCATGACCTCGTACTTCTTGGCGACTGTCATGACGCGGGCCAGGCCGTACTGGGCCAGGAACGAAATGTCCGCGTGCGCGATTCACGACATCTTCTCGGTCTCTACTAGCACCTGGCCTTTCCCCGCGGAGGCCTTCAAGTCCATGAGCTTCACGGGGCCGTTCGTGATCGCGGTCAATTTCTTCACCTCATCAGTGGCTCTGTTATCCTGCAACTCTCACTGGGTCTTGTCCGGGGCCTGCATACGGCGCCGCCCTCCACGCAGGCGACGTTTGGCCTCCAGCGCGGTCTTGGGGAAGGTGTCAACACCAGCATCCAGGCCCTCTTCAGCGCCACGTTCCTAGACGCCTTCTGCCCCGACGTCACGTTCCTCTGCTCGACCCTGCGCGTGAGGAAGGGCCGCACCGTGCCAAGGCGCGCGTCGAACTCCTTCTGCACCTCGTCGGAGCCACTGAGGTCGGCGATGCGCGAGCGGGCCGAGGGCCACCCGCATCGCGCGCACGTCCCCACGGAGGGGCCCGACCGCCGCCGTCGCCCGAGCCGCCCCGCGGGAGGCGGCAGAGCACAGCTACAGCCAAAATGGCTACGGAACGTGTGGGGATGGAGGCAGAGGAAGGGTGGGAGGAGGCGGAGGCGGAGTAGAACGAGGAAGGCGGCGACCGCGGCTGCGACCCACGACGACGACGGCGCACCCCACTCGCGCCTCCACGGCGCGCGGCGGGTCGTCGGCCTGGCCCTGGGCCACAAGGTGGCGGGGTCCGTGGCGCGTTCGAAGGCCCCCCGCTGCTGCTGCCTCCCCTCCTCCTCCTCCTCCTCCTCCTCCTCCTCCTCCTCCTCCTCCTCCTCCTCTCCTCCTCCTCCTCCTCCTCCTCCTCCCCTCCTCCTCCTCCTCCTCCTCCCCCTCCTCCCCCTCGTCCTCCTCCCCCTCCTCCCCCTCTTCCTCCGCCTCCTCCTCCTCCTCCTCACGCGCCCTCGGTCCACCTCGTCCTCCCGCACTCGTGGCCTCCTTCGCACTGACCGCACACCTTCCAGTATTGGGGGGGTGAACAATGACAATCTAACAACCCGGAGGTCTTCGCGGATGTCTCGAATCGGTGTTGGATCCTTTTCGTGGCGCGCGGAGTTCAGAGTTCTGATAGTGTGGCACTGCTTTGCTCCCCTAAGAGCACCAGCTTCCAGAGGCTGAGGCCGCCCGCGCACTCCTCGTGACAAAGTCGGGTGTTGCTACAAGCACCCCTGGGCCAAGGTGCTCCCAGGATTCTCGGGGCTGCCCAAACGGCCTCCAAAGCACCCCTCACGAGGCCCAGAGGGCCCCAGGGGCTCCAAAATGAAGCAAAAATAGCTGGGGGCACCTTGGGCCAGGGGTACTTCTAGCAGCACCCGACAAGGATCCTCTGCGCCGGAGATCTCTCTCCGCGTGCCTCCTCCGCGGTCGCCTTCCGCGCCTGGCCCCGGCAGTGTCGCGTGTGCGCCCCCAGTCTCGGCGCGGCCCGCCTGCGCTTCCCGAAAGCGTCGGCGTCCGCCCTTGCCGCTGACCCACAAAACACGGGTCCGCCTCCGCTCGAGGAAGACAATTTAAGGAGGCAACAAAACATGCAGACACAATTCATCGTCGACTCCCCGGAAAATACAGGGAAATGTAGGAAGCGGGGGGGAAGACGAAAACCCAGAAGATATTGGGAAAGATGGGACATGTTGTGTGTGTGTCTATTTCTTTGTGTGTCCCTGGGCCCCTTCAACATAAAACGTTCGTAGGCGTGCGCGGGTCCAAGAAGTCCGCGCGCGCCTCCGGAAACTTGTGTGCATGCCGATGGTTATCGTTCTATCCGTCTTCCGTTCTTCCCCGCACCCTCCTCCGCCTGGAAATCGTCAGAGATTGCTGGGTAGCGCTGGGCCCACGCCGTCTCCGTGCTTGTGTCGTGGACTTCTGGTTTCCCAGATGCCTCTGGGGCTTCTTGGGGGCCCCCAGGATGCCCGCTTGGAGCCTTCAGGGGGCCCTGTGGAAAGGGCTCGGCATGTCAGTTCGCGCTCCCCTTGGCTCCTCGTTTTGTTCGGCATAGAAGGACTTTTCCTGCCGCCGCTGCTGCCGCCGCTGCCGCCGTCGCAGCTGCCGCCGTCGTCGTTGGCGCCCCCGTCGCCGTTGTTGTTGTCATCGTCGTCGTCGTCGTCGTCGTCGTCGTCGTCGTCGTCGTCGTCGTCGTCGTCGTCGTCGCTGCCGCGCCCGCGCCCGCGCCCGCGCCCGCGCCCGAAGGCGTGGGATCTGGATGGCGGCGCCCCGTGCTGCCGGCTCGCCACCGAGCCTGCAGTCAGCGCCCGGCCGACCCTGGCGGGCGCGGGCGCCGAGCCGGTGCCCGCGGCCTCGGCGGAGGGCCTGACCACGGTGGTGCGCATCTCCGTGAGGGGCACTTCGGGGGGAGCCGGTTCGGCAGCGAGCGTCACCACCCACCAAATCACCCCAACCCAACCCGAAGGCTCAGATTTACCCTCGATTTCCAGTGGGGGGGGGGTCGGGAAACATCGAAAAAACACATGTGGAACCCTTACCCCCCCCAACCCGAAATCGGGGTCTTCGGGTTGGGTTGGGGTGGTCTGGTAGGTAGTCAGAGCGAGGGGGAGAAGCGAGACGGGGCGGGCCTTCTTTCAGAGGAGGAGAAGGTGCCCAAAAATTACCTCTACCCTCCCACCGTTGTCGTCTTTTTTGGGCCTCCTGGGCTTCCGTCGTCGCCACCGCTGGATTCGCCCGGAAATCCTGGTCAGAACGCGCCCCAGGAGAGGTCCGGGGAGAAGCGATATCGGTGCCTTGTTGGTGTCCCCGTTCGCAGAAGGTTTGGAAGTCCTCTGGCCTCCTGAGAAGTTTTCTGAGCATTCCCCGAAGACAGAAGACTCCTCAGCAGGCGTGAGGGCTTCTGAGAAGTCCCGCCGCCTTCTGACAAGGCCTTCTCCTTCTCACTTCCCCGCCTCGCTCGCCGCCAATCAACGTCTTTCGCTAGCTCCAGCTCTTGGGGGCTGAGCGGGTCTGAGCTCTCTCTCTCTCTCTTCTCTCTCTCTCTCTCTCTCTCTCTCTCTCTCTCTCTCTCTCTCTCTCTCTTCAGAAGGAGAAGAAGAAGCAGTACAAACATCGACTTTCGACGGTCCGCGCGGATTTCCTGGATCTGCGCGGGCCCCCCCCTCCCCCGGCGCGCGGAGCGCGCCAGGGGCGGCGACAGAGGCGCTGCCAGAGGGGGCCCGGTGCAGAGCCGGGGAATGCGCGCGAAGCGTCGACAGTTTCTGTCTGTGCAGTGTTCTCTTCTGGGCTCGCGAGGCTGACGGGGGCGTGGAGGGAGCCTGCGCGCGCAGTCGCCCGGGGAGCGAACGGCTCGGACAGTGGTGCCCAGGCCCCGTCTCCCGACGCGCCGCGGCGCGCTCGCACTTGCGTTTCGTCTTCTTCCCCCCCCGCCCAGTCCTTGGGGAAAAGAGGAGTGAGGAGGGACAAACACACACAGACACTGACCATCACCGATGCCCAGGGAAAGATGGGAGTGTCGAGGGGAAGGCGAACGTCCAGGAAGTACGGAAACATGTGGAACTATTGAGATCTGTGTCTGTCTATTGGTGTGTCCCTTGGCCCCCTCCTTCTGCCCCACCCGCCCAGTCCGGGAGAAGAGAGGAGGGCAGGCCCCGGTCCGCCACGCCTGCGGAGTCTTACGCCGGCCGAAGGAGAAAACGGCATAAGCATAGATCAAGGGCGCCCTCGAGGGCGCGAAGTTATTCGCGCTTCGCGCTTCGCGGTTCGGCTCCGATTCCTCCTCATCCTCTTTTGCTCCCCTGGGAGGCGGCGCGAGAGCGCGAAGTTATTCGCACTTCGCGCTTCGCGCAGCGCGAAGCGCGAAGTTGGGAGCCCTTGTAGATGTTCGGCGGTCCGCGCGGATTCCCTGGGTCTGTACTGGGCCCTCTGGCGGCGCCTCCCGCGCCGCCCTTGACGCGCGCTCCGCGCGCGCACCGTCGACAGGGTATGCCTATGCTGTTTTTGTTTTTCCTCCAGTCGGTGGTAAGGCCAAGGGCTCCCAGGAGGGCGCGAAGTTATTCGCGCTTCGCGCTTCGCCGTCCTCCTTCCTCCTTCCCCTCCTCCTCGTCCTCCTCTTCTCCCCCTTGGGGGGCGGCGCGAGGGCGCGAAGTTATTCGCGCTTCGCGCAGCGCGAAGCGCGAAGTTAGGAGCCCTAGGTAAGGCTCTTGTGGGCCCCGAGGCAGGACCACTGTTCCCCGTGCGTTGTCCCCCCCCCGGCACTCCTGGCGCAGCCGGGCGCAGCTGGAGAACGAGTGGGGGGCTGTTGGTTTGCGGAGGTCCCTGATGGCGAAACGCTGACTGGCGGCCCGCGAGCCCGGGGCGGGGCTCGCTCGACGGCAAAACGCTGACTGGCTTGATCATCGCATCGGCGCTTCGGGGTCGGCGCGCGGCGTGGGCGGCGCCCGAGCGTCATGTGGCGGCGAGGGTTCGGGGGAGGTGGGCGAGTTGACGCAGCGGTCGTTGGCTTTCGAGGGGACCCCTCGTCGCCGCGGCGGGACGCAGCTCGGAGCAGTTGTGCGCCTGGACCCTCGCAGGGCCCCATGGGGGCCGAGTTTGAGCTGCCGCTGTCGCCACGCGCCCTGCTCCAAGGCATGCGGCCCCTCCCCCCAAGGGCTCCCAGGAGGGCGCGAAGTTATTCGCGCTTCGCGCTTCGCCGTCCTCCTTCCTCCTCCCCCTCCTCCTCGTCCTCCTCTTCTCCCCCTTGGGGGGCGGCGCGAGGGCGCGAAGGTATTCGCGCTTCGCGCAGCGCGAAGCGCGAACTTAGGAGCCCTTGCAGCACGTGTTTGGTGGCACACTTCGGGACGTCGGCCTCTGGGGGCAGTCATCGACGCCGCTGCTTTTCTCGCTGTGGCCTCCTGGCCGCATGCAAAGACAGGTCGGGGACCAGCTCGGGCGGAAAGCGTCCTCCTTGGAAGGCCACTCCGCGTCGTAGAAGTAAGATTGCAATTGTTTCCCAAATTGAGTTTGCACTTGGGGGCTCTTCCGGCGGCCAGCGATGGGGGGAAGTGAGAAGGAGAAGGCTTCTCAAAAGGCGGCGGGACTTCTCTGAAGGCGGCGGGACTTCTCAGCACTCCCCGAAGACAAAGGAAACTTCTCGGAAGGCGCGATGGCCTCTGAGAAGTCCCGCCGCCTTCTGAGAAGGCCTTCTCCTGCTCACTTCCCCCCCTTCGCTCGCCGCCAATTCTGATCAGGAGGGAAAGAAACACACAGACACAATTAATTGTCGACTCCCAGGAAAATATGCAAAAATATGGGAAGTGGTGGGGAAGACAAAAACCCAGAAAATATGGCAAAATATGGGGGATATGTTTATTTGTGTGTATTTATTTGTGTGTTCCAGTTCCCCTTCATCTGAGTTGTATAGCAAGGAACTGGGTTGGTATGCCGCCCCGGCCCGCTTGGTGGCCGCCCGGTAGCCGCTCGTCGCTGCTCGTCGCCGCCGCTTGTTCGGGGGCGGAAAAGAGGGGGGTGATGACTAGGGGGGGGGGATTTCATGGCGCGGGCCATGATATCTCCGCAGATTTCATGGCGCCTCTTCTTATTTCAATGCGTCCCTGGCCCCCCCGCTGGGCCGCGCACATGCCGCCGGTCATGATTTGCACCCCCCCCTCTTGGACACCCCCCTCTTGGCCGCTCCCGACTTGTCTAGGCCTCCTAATTAGATGGGGTCGGAGCAGACGGGGTCGGGGGACCGCGCCGCATCGGCGATGCATCGGCGATGCGGCTCGCTATGGGGCCCAATGTTCTCCACGCTGGCGTCGCCGATGCCTCGCCGACGTCGCCGCTGCATCGCTGACGCATCGCCGATGCATCGCCGCTGTATCGGCGATGCGGCCCGATCCTCCGACCCCATCTACTCGGACCCCATCTATCAGGAGGGGAGAAAACACGCAGCCGTCGATTCCCCGGAAAGTATGGGAAGTGTGGGGGGAAGACACGAACCCAGACGAAAGTACACCTTAGGCGATGCTTAAGAAAACTGAAGTTTTCGGGCAGAGTCTCGATAATTCTTAACGTTTCAATGTAAATCTTGAGATTTGAATGGAAACGTTCGGTTTTTATTCAAGTTCTGAGACTATGAATTTCTTAACCCATGATTTCTTAAGCATTTCGCAGGCTGTATGCGAAAACATGCGGAATCTTGGGACTCTTTGTGCGCCCCTGGGCCGCTCTAATCCAGGAGGCCTCTGGCCTGTCAGGGGCTGGTCCAGCGGGCGCGTGGCCGCCCGCCGCCGCCGCCGCCCCTTTTCTGGGTCTGTGTGCCGGTGCGGCCCGCGCGTGGCCGCCCGTCGCCGCCGCCCGTCCTTCTCCTCCTCCTCCTCCTCCTCCTTCTTCTCCTCCTCCCCCTCCTCCTCCTCCGCCTCCTCCTCCTCCTCCTCCTCCTCCTCCTCCTCCTCCTCCTCCTTCTCCTCCTCCTCCTCCTCCTCCGCCTCCTCCTCCTCCTCCTCCTCCTCCTTCTCCTCCGCCTCCTCCTCCTCCTCCTCCGCCTCCTCCTCCTCCTCCTCCTCCTCCTCCTCGCCGCGGGCTTGCTGCCCGGACACGGGCCGTTAGGCCGGCAATTCTTCAGACTGCCGCGGCGGGGGCGGGCCGTTCCAAAACGACGCGAAGATCGGGACAAAATCGGATCGGGATCACTCGAAATCTCTGAGAATCGGCGGGTGTGGAGGACGTATTGGGCGCCGCGGCCGCTCCAGAGCGTTCCGGAGCGCTCTGAGAGCGCTCCTGAACGCTCTGGAGCGATGTATCCCGATCCTAGCCCTGTTTTACGTTCTGCCTGGGCCCCGGGGGGGCACCGCCCCGTCATGCGGCGCGCTGCCCACGGCGCTCGCGGAGGCAGCTGCCCGCCACACGCGCAGTGCTGCACTCCCCTGTGCGGGTCGTGTGTGGCGGCCCCCCCCCCGCCTGCACCCCTAATTTGGCGCACGCGCCTGAGCTGGGCACGGCGCCGCCGAGGCGCTTGACCGCTCGCTCTGCGCGCGCGTCGCCAAAAAAACGATTCCTGGACACGTGAGGCTCGAGTAAGCCGGAGGTCAAGTTTGCTGAGGTTTTCTGACGAGCGCATCCTTGGCTCTGACGGTCCAGTCTTCGTGGGACGTTTGCAAAGCACGAGTTCGCGTCAAGATTCGGATTGGTTCTCGTCGTTTTCCATGATGGCCCCGTCAGGCCAACCCGAGTCCCCCGCACCCGAGTCTCCCGTCTCTCCGACTGATGGTGCGGGCCTCCACACATTCACTGCGTCACTCACATAATTCCACGAAGATTGCATTCCATCGATTGCACCACATAGATTGCACCACGCAGCTTAAACCACATAGTTTTTTTCATAGAATATAAGACATACCATCCCACCCCGCCAGGATGATCACGCCAGCCTGGGGATGTGCAGTCATGCGACGATGCCCCATAGTTCATTTTACCTATAACGCGCCATCCCATGCAGACTTGGGTCGACCTCCCCCCTTCCATCTTCAGCAAATAAACTATGCGCGCACACTCGTTTATCACCAATCATCAGTTGTCAAGAATCCCTTGCAACAAATGCGACGAAGTCCACACGCACGCGTCGTCGCGCGCCCGTGCCAACAGTCGTTCCAAACTGTTGGTTTCGTAAGGACTTCAAGATCGAGTGTCCCGATAACATATACAACAACACATGTTGTTGCAAAATGCTTTTCTTCCAAAAGAACGTTTGTTCACACCGCTGCAAATTCTTAAAGACAGCATGTGTTCAAGAGTTCCATAAAATACGACCCATCGCGTTTTTCGCGCGCACGTGCCGGAATCAATTCGAACACCTTAGCACGCGTGTTTGGGGGACACGGCCCTTGTCACATAATATCATGCGGGCCATTCGCGCGCGTCGGCCGCGCGCGCATGTCGAAATCTCTGCAAAATTTTCGTCGCCGACACGTGGGCACCATCATCATCATCATCATCATCAGCATCATCATTATTATCAGCATGACCATCATCATCATCATCATCATCATCATCATCATCATCATCATCATCATCATCATCATCTGTATCAGCAACATCACCATCAGCATCGGCATCGCCACCGTCAGCGCTACGATCATCACCGAGGCTGCCATTGTCGACGTCGACATGAGACCGCGCCAGGCAGAATCACGCGCACTGAAATGCCCGCGCGTCAGCGCGGCCTGCGAGACGCGATGGGAAGTGCACATCGGCCAGCGCCAACGTGGCCGCGTCGGTCGCGCCACACGGGCTGGCCGCTCGGCGCGCGATATTTCAGCGCGCTCGCGCGGTTGCAGAGATTTACTTTCCAGCGCCAAGTAGCCATCGCAATCGCCGCCGCACGCGTTGTGAAGACCAAGTTGCAGGCGGGAGGGTGGGATGATTGCGTGAGCAGTGCATGTGTCAATTTTGGGTTCTGCAAATTGAATTGCGGCACACAGATTGCACCACCTGTTTTATTCGAGATGATCGCCCTGCCCCCGGTCAATTTTTTAACTTGACCCCATACCATCCCAGGGAGTCTCCTGATCTCCCCCTCCCCATCCCTGCCGAACAAACCATCCACGCAAACTTGTTTATCAAGCAGGGTCATATGTTTAGGGCCGTTTTCATACTTGGCAAAGACCACACGCGAATCGCCGCGCGCACGTCGACATCCGTACAACAACTTTCGGTAGTGCCACAAGGATCCCAAGATCATGGCTCACGATAACAACCCAACATAATGGTTTTCCACAATACGTGTCGGATTGCACGCTCTCCCGAATTCTTAACCACTGGTTGTTCCGCATGTCCGCTGAATGCGACCACGCGGGCCCCCCGCGCGCGCATGTCGAAACCAAACCCTGGCGCGCTTGATTTGGGGGCACGACCTCTTATCATCATCGTTCCACCGTTGCCGACGTCACTATGACACCGCGCCCGCCGGAGTCACCGACTCGCAGTGAAATTCGGAGGTGGACAGACTTCCTACCCTGACACGTCGATTAAGGAATTGGCCGTTTTCGGTTCGCGGGAGGGCGTCGCGGCCGTCATTTTTGCGGGTCCAGGTCCGTCGGTTTTGGTCCCAGTCCAGTTTCTCTAAGGGGAGGTCTACTAAAGCGAGGCTTGTCCACCGCCGAGAAATGCCTGCCCGCCAGCGCGACCCGTGTGACGCGCTGGGAAGACCCCATCGGTCAGCGCCACCACGGCCCTGCCGACTGCACCAAACTGGCTGGGCGCTCTGCGCGCGAGCTTGCGCGCGCCAGCGCGGCCGCAGAGATGCGCCAGCTAGCGCCGGGCAGCCATCGCAATCGCCGCGCTTCGCGCAGCGCGCTTCGCAATTGAGTCGTCAATTTCAAGCGATACGCGCTTCGCGCAGCGCGAAACGCGATGCCTGGCGCCCTTGTGGACGCGTGCGGGGACAGAGTGCCCGACGCCAGCAGCGCCCGGAGGGGCGCAGGCGAGAAGCACGAGGGAGGCTTTCTGGGACCCGTCCGAGGCCCCGATGCCTGGCCGAGCTCCGCGCGTTCCCCCAGCTTGCCGGCCTGAGCCCTCCTCCTCCTCCTCCTCCTCCTCCTCCTCCTCCTCCTCCTCCTCCTCCTCCCCGACGACGGAGCCCGGCGGCATCCCCCCCAGCGTTTGCAGTCCCGCAGAGCAGGGATGAGCGATTCTGCAGGCTTCCGCCACATCCGCCGACCGACCCCAAGGGCCATCCTCCAGGCGTCCCTCCTCCCAATGTCTTGCGCATCTGTCTCGGATTGCATGTTGTCCGGACACGCCAGATTCCCAAGGCCACGGCCTCGCCCACCCGTTCTTGAGTAGGCCCGGACGCTGTCCGCAACCGTGGTCGCATCGCATCGCATCGCACTTTGATTCTTGCGGGAATGCGTATCCATCAGGTCTGCTCTCTAGTGGCACTCGGCCTATTCAGCCACCGTGCATAGGTGGTGGGTCGGAGAACTGATGTGTGTTGGTTGGGATCTCGTGGTTGGCCTCTCGGGGGCCCTCGGGAGGCAGTTTTGAGGCGTGGGGGCCGCTTTGGGGCCTCGTCGGGCCTCTTGTGGGCCTGTTGGAAGCCTTTTGGGGCCTCTTGGGGGCGCCTTGGGGGCCTCTTGGGGCCTCTTTGGGCCTTTGGGGGGCATCCTGGGAGCGTCTTGAGGCGGAAGGCTAGATTTAGCAGTTCCTGGTCCCCCTCTTAGGCCCGTCTTGGGAGCCTCTTGGGCGGCTCTTGGGCCGTCTTGGGAGCCTCTCGGGCCGTCTTGGGAGCCTCCTGGGCCGTCTTGGAGCGGTTTTCGGGCCCTTTTGGGAAGTCTTGGAGCGTCGGAGAGCCGTCGTAAGGGCGAGAACCCAAAAAACCTTCAGATAACAAATGAAAATCACTGATTTTGGCCTCTTGGGAGGCCTCTTGGAGGCCTCTTGGGGCGATTTGGCGGCCTGTAGGGCCGTCTTGGGGCCATCTTGGGCGTCGTGGGGCGATCTTTGGGCCCTCTTGGGCCGTCTGGGAGGCGTCTTAGTCCCCTCTTGGCCTGTGTTGGGGCCCTCTGACCCCCCATGGCGCGTTCGGTCCGGGGCCGTGCCGGGCCGGGGGGGGCAAAATCCTGGTTTGGTGTCCTTTGGGGGGGGTTCTGTGCGGGGAAAATCTCACACGCCTAAAGACCCACAAGGATGAGCGATTTCCAAGGTTATCCTCGCATGTTTCGCTTGCAGCGCATCCTTGGCCGCTGTAGCTGACCGCGCCCCGCTGGCAAAGTGTCGACGTGGCCTTCCAAGGCCCTTGCATCCTTATCGCGCGCCCTTCTTATACGGGTTCTCTGTCTATGATAAAGTTTGCGCTATCCCCGAGGCATGTCGTGCAGCTCCTGCACCGCGACCGTGCGCCGGGCGCTCATGGGCGTAGAGGGCGTGCGCAACGCCAACGTCAGCCTGCAGGACGCAAGGGCTCCCATGAGGGCGCGAAGTTATTCGCGCTTCGCGCTTCGCGGTCCTCGTTCCTTCTCCCCCTCCTCCTCGTCCTCCTTTTCTCCCTTTGGGGGGGCGGCGCGAGAGCGCGAAGTTATTCGCGCTTCGCGCTTCGCGCAGCGCGAAGCGCGAAGTTGGGAGCCCTAGAGGACGGGTCCTCTGAGTGGTCAGCGGCGGAGGTCATCTGCAGGCCGTCCGACACGATCGTCCAGAGACTGTGCGAGGCGGCCTCCCCGGGGGAGGAAGAGGAGGATCGACGGACGCTTTGGACGCCTGTTGGCCTCTGGAGGCATTTGTCGAAGAAGAAAAAACGGCATAAGCATAAACCTTTTGGCGTTCCACGCGGATTTCTTGGATCCGCGCTGGGCCCCCCCGGGCGGCGCCTCTTGCGCCGCCCCTGGCGCGCGCCGCGCGCCAGGGAGGGGGGGTCAGCGCAGATCCAAGAACTCCGCGCGGACCGGCCGCGTCTTGCTGTTCTACTTTTGGGGATTCCGCGGACCTCCGGGGACCTCCAGGGGGCCTCCAGGGGGCCTCCAGGGGCCTTCTCTGGATATCTCAGAGACCTCCTCAGGATGGAACAAAAACACACAGACACAATTCATCTGCGACTCCCAGGAAAATATAGGAAAATATAGAAAGTGGGGGAGAAGACAGAAACCCAGAAAACACTACCGACGACCTCCGCGGGAGCAGTGGGACGCGACAGACCCCGCTGCCTGACTGGGAGACTCTGGGACAAGCCCAAATCCCCAGTCAGGCGATCGCCGAAAACCGAAACACCACCACCAGGGCGGGTGGGCGGGAAAAACCGAACACCGAGCAGCCGGCACCAAGAAGACCGCCCCCAGCGGCCCACCGAGGGAGCGCGCCGCCAGTGACCAACACCGCGGGCACCATGGCCGCGAGCACACGGCCACCGAGCCCCCGAAAGGGAACTGCGGCGCCACCGCCCCCAAGGGCAAAGACGACGACGACGCCGACGACAGACAGACAGACAGACAGACAGACGACAGACAGACAGACAGACAGACAGACAGACAGACAGACAGACAGACAGACCAACGGCCCAGAGAGACCGACGGACAACCGCGACCTCACCGAGGCCCCCAGGCGCGTGAGAAGCAACACCGCCGACGGGAAGCGCCGCCAGGCACCACCAGCTCCACCAGGAGCACCCACTTTGGGATAAGGCGAGTGAGCAAAGAAGCGGAGGAGTACATAGACAACTCCGGCCGCTCGTTGTTTTCTCGCGCTGAAAACGCTACGCGTTTTCGCGCGGAGAAAACACTACCGACGACCTCCGCGGGAGCAGTGGGACGCGACAGACCCCGCTGCCTGACTGGGAGACTCTGGGACAAGCCCAAATCCCCGCTGCACCCAGACCTCCCAGGCGGAAGCTGACCACGCGTTGCCTGTGAAGCAAGAGAGAATCTTTTTGGAACCACAGCCAGGCCCAATGCACCAAGAAAGTTCACTCGCCGTCTGACGAGCTCGAATGCTCGACCAAAAATTCAGCTGCCTGCAGGGCCCCACGTGCCCGGGCACTGGCGTACGCAAAGGCAGTCAACCCACGCCAGCCTCCACTGTAGAAGAGGGCAGTCGGACCTCCTGCTTTGAGAGCATCCGAAGCCCAACCACGCCTGAAAGCATGCGTGCCCCACGCCTGCGGGGACCTCAGATTGCACGCGGCCGCTGCTAGTTTTAAGAAAGCCAGCGACTCGGAATAAGATATGTGTTGGAACGGTGGCTCTTTGGCCTCGACAACAGGCACTAAGGCGCACACGCCGCACAAAGACGGCCCATGCGTCCCGCATATGCAGCCCCTGACCACTTCAACTGGCTCCTTGTAACATTTCCGCCGCAGAAATGTTACGATCACCTGCTTCTTGCCCTTGGCCTCCTTGATTCTAAGTGGGGCCAGGCTCGTACCAATAATCAAGGTTTCACTATAGCGCAAGGTGAAGTGGCGCGACACAACCCACGACCGAGCCACGTCCGGCCTGGATGCCGTCTCGGAAGCCCACTTTGCCAGGGCGCGCGTGTCTCCTGGCGAAGCCCTCAACTTCACACGGCGAGTCGCCGGATCCGTGGCCTTCTCAGCGCCCCGAATCAAGCGGGAAGTGTCCGCCAAAGGACCTGGTGAACTTTTCTACCAAGCCAACACTGTTCGAAGACGAGACACATACTGCGCCAACGAAGCTCCGCTCCGAAAGAGAGACACGAAGCAATCCAAGATGCACTCCTGAGGGGGCCAAGGCTCCACGCGCACCGTAGCCGCTGCCTGTCCCCACAAAACCACAGCAGACGCATACCCCAAGGCACTTTTTCGCCAGCCTTGAAACTCAATCCAGCATGCCCGCTCCGCGAAGACGGCGGCGGGAGCGGGGCTTCGTTGAGCTTCGCGAGCTTCAGCTGTTGGCGCCTGGCCAGGCATGTCCACGGGCGGCTCTGCCACTTTGTGGAGCACGCGTATGGCGTGTGCCAGTACCGGCGGCGGGGGGACACAACCCGATTGCCTTGCAGCCACTACCAGTCGCAATGCTGCGAGCGCTTGCGCCATTTCTTCGGCTGACGCCGAGGCTGGCGCAGCTGGACCCGCCAATGAACGCTCACGGCTGTGAGGCTGGCGGTCCGTCTGCGATTCCTGCACCGCTGGCTGCTGCATCCCCCTATCCGCTCGACCACAAAACAACAGAAAAACCTTGACGATGGCAACGTCCAGCTGGCCCAGAGCAGGCCAAACCTCCTGCGCCTCGAAAGCGTCCAACGAGCCAAAATCACTGAAGGAAGTCGCGCCGTCGCGTTGCAGACTTGCTGCAATGCCGTCCGCGTCATGGACGTCCTGCTTCGCGGCGCCACCGGCCCTCTGAAGCACGCTCGCCAATTCACCGCGCCAGCGATCCGCAGGATGGCCAGGACGTGGAAGGGAAGCGCCAGGCGGCAGTGCTGGCTCGCTGGCCTCAGGAAGCCCCTCTCGTAAGCGCTGCCATCGCGCCCGCTCTGCGTTGACAAAACTCAACGCCATGTGCCGGCCTGCAACCCGCAATCTGTTTGAGCCGAAGGCTACGGAAGACAAAGCAGAAGTGCCAGGCAGAAGCCGCACGTGGAAAACTGAGTGCGCCTGCGCTGCGCATATTTTCCCTCCGCGGACACCCAGCCATTGCCGCCTTAGCTGTCCCAGGGGAGCGCTGGCCAACGCCAAGCCGTCTCCCGGAAAGACAAGCTGTCTAGTTCAGCGCGGCTCTGCTCTGCTTTACTTACGCGAGTAGGCCCATCTGCCAGATTCAACGCAGAAGGGACATAATGAGCGTGCATAAGCACACTTGCTGCAGCTAGATCGAACCAGATGGTGCCCAAAACTGCGTTGAGATCAGGCTGCCGGGAACTGCCACGCAAAAGTGCGCTCAACGCCGCTGTGTTGTCGATGAACACAATGAGCTCTGGTGACTCGACTCCTTGCTCCAGGAAAAGCCGCACGCCGCACAATGCTGCCACTAATTCCCAGAGGGTCACCTGCGTGCGCCTGGGCCGAGCCCAAGCCCAAGCTCTAGACGGAATCTTTGCTGCCGCCCAGACACGCTTTGACGGAGTTTGAAGCACTACAGCCAAGTTCCCTCCGCCAGTGGCGTCAGTGTACAGGATGCACCTCTGGAGCGGAGGTTGGCTGAACCGCACGAAAACGGAAGGGTCAGAACTTAAAAACCGTTCCCACCACTGCAGAGCATTGCGCACGCGAGCTGCCAGCGCACGTTTCCGTTGGCTGCTCTGCCAGAAGAGCGGTGCCAGAAAAACTCTCGCACCGCGGCCAAAAACCGCTGTGGCCCCCCAGCTAAGGCGACCAGCAAGTTTAGCAGCCTCTGCTGGCGCCAACGCGTCACTACGCAAAGCATCGCGAATTTGCTGGAGCCACTTATTTTTCTTCTCGCACCCAATCCAAAACCAAATGCCCTCCAGGCAGGCCTTCGCCTCTACGCCTAACACGGTCATTTGTGTCGCCTCAGCAACTGCTTTGGATTCATCTAGCAGCCAGCCAAGCAAGTCCACGATCACTGTGCGCGCCAACCCCGCCGACCCTCGCGGACCCACCAAAGATCCGGGATCCGCGGTGCTCGCGCACGCATCTGCGCCGAACAAATCGTCGACGAAACGCGGATAAGCAAGCAGAAATATACGGGCCAAAATTGCTTGCACCGCGCTACCGAATCGATGCCACGCAAACACAGAAGCCGCCGCGCCAAAAGGACAAGAGAGCAACTGTAATCCCTTGTCCTGCTGCGCAGCACTACTCCACGTGGCAACTGAAAACCGGAGATGGTTCTCCTGCACAGGAAGCGTCTTGAACGCACTCTTAAAATCATCCTTGCGGAAGAGCAGAGGCGAACCCCCCTCTGCAGCGTCAAAACAAGCCCGGGCCACACCAACAAGTGTATCGAGCGTGTCGTGACGCATTTCCTCTGGAATGCAAGTGGCAGAATTGAGACCGTTGCCACTGAAATCGTCGATCAGACGTACTTTCCTACTCCTCTGCCCGGCACGTTCCCGCCAACCTTCGTCGACAGGGAAGCGGACTGCAAGCAAAGCATCTACGGCGGAAAGCTTTACCCAAAAAGCTTTCCTCTGCGCAACCTCTTCTTTGCATTTGTTCTCAAACGCCTCCTCTACCGCGGGGCACAGCGACGTGCGGGCCCACACCTTGCACAAAGTGTCGGCGTTGATAGCGCCCACCGAAGATTCCAGCGCACTTACGGCCACTGGTTCGGACACGTGCCGCTTCGGAGGCATTATACCGGAAGGATTCAACCTACCTACGATCGGAAACCCGAAAGCTAAGTTATGTACAAGCTCTTTATCTGGCCACGCGATGCTCTCGAGCATCTCCGCGAGAAGCAGTAGATTCTTCCCCGGCCCTACCAGCTGCTGCACGTGCAGCGGTAATCCCCGCAGAATTTGCTCCCAGGGGACAGCCAGGTCACGTTTCCGCCCCTGCCAGTACTCTAAAGCGTCAGCGCGCCATCTATGCAAAGCCCCCGGGCTGAGAGCCGAGGATTTTTGAATTGCATCCTGCAGCAAAGGGGGCAAGCAGCCCTCACGCGCGACGTGCGGCAAAGACTGCGCCCATTTAAAATGCGCCGCAGGTGTCATAGCAGACCGGGCGTCCCGATCCTGTAGCAGAGCATGCACGGCCGAACGGATCTCGACAAGAAAATCCTTTCCACCACTACATGGAAACTCGATTGTTTCCTCTGTACCCTGAGAAAAGCTCCCGTCGGAAACCTCGCTCAGTTGTTCCTCCACGTCTGTGTCGGGGAATCGTCCTTCCCCTCACTTGTTCCACCACTTGTCCTGCCAGGACTTGTTGCCCTGGTTGTTGCCATGGCCGCCCTTGCCTCCCTTGCCGTTGGAGTTGCCGCCGTTGCCAGAGCGCTTTGGCGACCTGGACCTCTTCTTCTTGGGGGTGCTCGGCGCGGGCCCAGCCCCTTTGTGCGCCTTGCCCTGGCCCTTCGGCGCCGCCCCGCTGGAGCTGGCATTGCCCCAGCCTCCGTAACCAGAGCTGCTGCCACCGTAGGTCCGGGAGCCTCCGCCGTGCTGCGCCTGGTGGTCGCCCGGCCGGTGGTCTCCTTCATCTTCTGAGATACTTTATCTTTGGCCTTCCGGGCCATGTCCTCGTCGAGCACGTTGAAGTAGTGCGAAAGCCGGTCCTCGCCTCGCTCGAGCGAGCGCGCCATCGCCTTACGCTGCAAGATGTCGTACTGATAAGCCGTCCGGACCCCGCCGTGTTCCTCAGCTATGTGGGTCAGATTGAACAGGTAAGCCAAAAGCTCCGTGGACGAGCACGCTTTCATCAGCACGCACTTCATCCCCCACTGGAACACGTGACCCATGAACGTAGCGTAGCTCTGATAATCGAGCTTCAACTCGTCCGCTCGGGCTTTCTTGTCGTCGAGCACATGCTTGAGCTTTTCCTCGATAGATGAACCAGTCGGTGGCGCAGCCACGACAGGCGTGCGCGACCATTCCGGTCGGTGGTGCGTCTGCAGACACTCACCGTCCGCGCTGCCGATCCACTTGCGCTGCTTCTCGGCGGCCACTTTGCCAGCATGCTCGAATTTGGCCAAGGTTTCTTCTGAAGGGAGCCCATCCGACGGGAAGTGCGCCAAACCCATTTCTTGGATCCGCTTGGCCAAATCGAAAGACAAACCCTTCTTTGCAGAGCCCGCCGCGGCCGTGTGAGACGTCGCCTGGACGAACTGCTGCATGGCATTGGCGAACACCGAGACCCCTGCAGCATCCGAATCCGAAGCCATCTTCATCTTGGACTGAAACCTACCCTGCGCACGCAGAGCCAGCGACAGCATAGCAGGCGTCAAAACAAATTCTTTCCAACCCTCAGGGCCGGAAGAGGCGAACGGCTTGTCGTGGAGCACCAAGCCAGTCTTGAGGGAGTCGCGGATGAAGTCGTCTGCGTAATCCTCCATCTGGACGCCCTGCACGACCTCTGCCATGGCACGCGCCGTGCCCGTGTAAAAGCGAAGGTCATGTTTAGCCTTGGCGTTTTCGTCTACAGAGCAGACGAACTTGGCGAACTCCAAAATATCTTCTGTGGAAGCGCCTGCGAATGCTCCCTGCGGGAGGCCGGCGAGGTCCGAGCTGATCTCATCTGCTGAGAACGAAGCCATGCCGCAGCAGTACAGGACAGGAGCCTGCAGGTGATCTGCAACGCAGCTGCTGCACAGTAGCACTTGAGTGTGTGATTTGCCTGAGCCCACACAGCCACGGTGCTGCATGCTTGCGCGCATAACAACAATGACCGGCTGCAACGGATCATGACCGATACTGCTGTTGCACCGGAACATGGGCGCACGCAACGTTGCAGCCCCAGAGAGCCCGCACCTGCGTCCCGCAACCAGTTTTTCGAACGCGCCCAGCTGCCACCGACGGCGCGCCAGCGGCTAGAGCCACACCCAGCAAGAAGGAGGGAAAGAAGAGAGTCCTCCGCTCCGCTCCGCCTCCGACGGCACCAACTCGCACAGTGACGCTGCTGCGCATCCCGGCGACCCCCCTTTGACGTTTATCGCGGCCAGGGGGGCCACTCGGGTCACCCTTGCGCGAAACCATGCAAGCTACAGCGGTGCCACGCCAATCCCAGTCGAACCCCTTTGACCGCCGAGCGGCCAGGGGAGCCACATGGGTCTCCCTGCACCTCCCCCTCCGCCAGGCCGGGTCAGAGCAAGGAGAGAGGAATTTTGAGCGTAACGAGGCCTGTTTTGGCCAAGTAACCTCACGCGAGGGGGCTTCCGCTCATCCCACGCTACTTCGGCTGACCATCGCCGGACATTTTTCCGGGTTGCCCGAAAAAAATGCACCAAGCAAATCCTTCCGCAGTGGATCGAATTTTCAGGGGCCGGAGCCCAAATTTCACGAGCCACACCAGAATTTAATTCTGAGTTCCCTGTTGAAGGGGCGTCAGCATGGATATTCCGATTACGCGCCGTTTGGGACGCGGGCCCCCCCGGAGTCGGTCGAGGACGGGCGTGCCGCACAAGTGCACAGCCCCCCGCCCCCGTTGTGTGCAGGTGGGGGGTTAGCCAATGCCCCCCCATCAAGGACTAGCTTCTGCCGCCTGCACACATCCGACCCGGAGTGCCCAAGAGTGTCCGTAGACCCTCTCTCTGGTTTGCGCGGCATGCAAGCCCAAAATGCGACTATTAGGCGCGCAGGCGCCCCCGACGCACGAATTTGCAGTCGGACTGCGAAGGTGGACGTGCCAGGCTCCACCATGGGCACGGAGCCCAGAACGCAGAACCGGACGCGCAAACGCCCCCCCAGCGCAAAACAGAGCCCACAGTCCAAACCTGGACGGTTGGACGCCAAACCGCGGAGAAGAGCCCAAACTGCCACACTGGACGCACGCTTTCCCAGGAGGCGAACTTGCGCACATGCGCCCACGGACGCGCCTGCGCACAAGACTGCACAGAGTGC